GGTATAGTGGATTTACCTAAACAAATATGCATCAGGGTGAGCTATATCCGCTAATTCCAACATAGATTTGCATTTCAAAAGGCTTCAGGGCTGATTCTTCTCCACCTTTTTTTGTGCCCTGCAATGAAAGGAGACTTAAAATCTACTGTCCAGAACAGAAGGTATAATAATAGGGATGGAAATAATGTTTTAATGGCAAAAGACTGGTTCCTGTTGATGGCCACTTGCTAGAAGGATCCTATCAAATAAAATCAAGTTTAACCTAGTGGTTTTAATGGGAAACTTACATGGTCATCTACGTACAATTCATCTCTGATAATACAGATTGTCCTCAACGCACAACAGTTCATTAGTGACTGTTCAAAGTTACAACAGCACTAAAAAAAAGTGACTTATGACCATTTTTTACACTTACGGCCATTTCAGCATCCCCACAGTGGCGTGATCAAAATTCAGAGGCTTGGCAACTGACTCGTATTTATGACAGTTGCCATGTTGTTTGTAACCAAGCCAAAATTCAAAAGCCAGCCTTCTATAGGGAAAATGCCAAGCATTGGTAACTTTCCTTGTTGCTTCCTGAGTTGTTAAGATGGCAACTTTTAAAAAACAAAACCTCGGGGGATGGTTTCAAGTTTTCCCCTCAAAAGTTCTATGGGACAGGCTAAAGCAATGTAGGAAAATAACAAGAACATTCTTTCTTTTTCTAAAGAAAGGACAACTCAACAGCATGGAGGATTCTTCCATCTGGACCTGGTTTATTTCAGTCAACAAAATCTGGCTGGATTTGCTTTTCCCAAGCAAATATGCTTTTTTTTTTTTTAAGAAGTAGAAGCCAGAACATTGGGTGGTGGCACCTTCAGGCCTCACCAGAGCTTCTGCCCTAATAAAATTGGAGGGTCTGAAGGAGACAACCCAACTCAAGGTCTACTCTGCATAAACTAGCAATGTGGCACAGACTAACAGGGGTTCCTCCCCCCCCCTCCATTTTCTAAGAAGGGATCAATTTGGAAAGCCTTCTTTGGAGAGGATCTCATTAAGGTGAACTCAGACCAAATCTGCCTTGTCACTCATCTTTCCTTTCATGCCCAATCAAGATCATTTCTAAACAAACCCAAATTGGCCACCTCCTCTTGCGAAGTGGAGCCCCACCCATCCAGAACCAGGCTGAGGGTCACATGTCTGGGATTTTGCTCGCTGGTGGAGAATGACATCCCAGTTCCTGTAAAACCTATCAGTTCCTTCTAACAAAACCAGTGCTCAGAAGTGGATTTGGGAACAAAAAATCAGGGCCCAGGGTCTCTCTCTCTGTCTTTCTCCCCCTCCCCAGCACTGGAATGGGCAAGGCCCTTGACCTCAAAGAGGCAGAGGCTAGGCCCAGATGGACCTTGGGGGTCAAGTTCAACCTGCTGGACTGCATAAACCTTCCCCCAAAAGGAAGGCATTAAAAACAGCTTTATTTCCACAGCGCGAACATGACAACAACCGAAAGCGTTTTTTTCCAGAGCTGGGGGTGGGGAGCTGGTCTCCCCAAACTCTCCAACAAGCCATGCAGCCATTGTCCAGAGCAAAAGAGAACCAGGCAAGGTGAGTGTATCTCATCTCTCCCAGGACATTTTTAAACCTTCTCCCCAATAATATAATAATAACTGGAGCACCACGTGAACACCATTGGCATTGGGGGAAAAAATCCCCATTGGTCAATTGCAAGACCGTCAAGCAACATCTGCCCATCCCCAAGTCCCTGGGCAGGACTCAATGAGTGGCTAAAAATGCCAGATCCAGTCCAAACAGCTGCCTGATCTTGCAACTAACCCACAATAATAACACTGGCACTGACAACATCCCTATCAGTCAATTGCAAAAGGCAGCTCCGACTGGGGGAAACAGATTACACCCTGCTACAAGACCTTTACTGCCATCAAACAACAACCTCTGCCCATCCCAGCTCCTTGAGAAGGGGAGGGACAATGGCAACCACAACAACACCACCACTCAATTGCAAAAGGCAGCTCTTTACTTGCAGCAACTCACACGAGCCTTTTTAACAGGATCAAATCGCATCAGCCCATCCCAGATCGGTGGGAAGGACCCGAGAGGAGGATAAAAGGGCCCAATCCAGTCCAGACATGGGGCTGACCGAGCAATCAGCCATAATCCCAGTAACTTTTTCCTACAGTCTTCCCGGACCTCTTTTCCAAGTTAACCCTCCCCTCCACACACACACACACACACACACACACACCCGGGGACGAATGCCAACCCTCCCAGCAACCCGGAGCCTACCCAGCACTTCCCTTGAATTCTCCTGATGAAAGTTTCGGACCAAATCAAACTCCTCTTCCTCCCCCNCCCCCCAAAAAACCCCAGACCTTTGTAAGGGGGCGAGGGGGCAGATTTCCCTCCCCCCTCGGCCTCGTTTCTCGGGGAGCGATTTTTTCCTGTACAAAAACCAAGCGCGCCGACTTTGCGCTCACTCGCCCAGCGGTCGCCATTCACACGCGTGGGTTTTTTTGTGTGTTTTTAAGGATTCAGACGGGCCTGGGCGCGTCTACTCAAGAGTAACCCCCCCATTGAGCCTGAAGCAGCCGTTTCCCCACGGCGGCCCAGCGGATCAGCGGAAAGTCGCGGAATCGGAGAGGAATCTTCCTTGGTCATTTCTACGCGGTTGCTTACACGGCCCCCATCCGCCCCTCTCTCACACCGGTGTCCTCACACACACACACACACACACACACACAAAACCTTTATCTGCGAAAGACGGCCAACGGACAAATTGTCGCTGGGAAGCCGGCGAGTGTCGGCTTCGCTACGCGTTCTCTTTCCCGCACGACTTCCAAGAAATCTCCGCGTACGCCCCGTCCCCACGACCAGGAGCCAGAAACACCCCCTTTTAGTCCTCTTTTACAGACCTCCTCACCAAGAAACGGAGGACCCGGAGAAGAATTTCAACCGCAGAAGACGAAGAACTGGGCTGGGGGGGGGGGAGAGAAAAGAGGCTAACCTTTTATCTGAACGCGGCTCGGCTATACACAGAGCCCCCCCCCGCCCGGATTTACAAGGGACGTTTGGACGCCAGACCCGAAGGAAAAGTTCCATCAAATCATCCGAGCTTTTCCCGAATTTACATGGTTTGCAACGCCAGGAGGAAAAGAAAAAAGAAATCTAGGTTTAATCCACCCAAAATTAAAAAGAGACGGCACGCCCGGGTCTTAGAAAAACCCAGCCAGATTTCCTTGAAAATGACTTCTTAAAAAAAAAAATTATAAGAAACTTAACCATGGAAGGATTCCTTATGTTTTAGGCCGAGAGACAAATGGCTATTTCTAAGGTAGGCCGGAAGTGTCCCCAACCCTCATGTGCTAGGCAGAAAAGGAGAGAGAATCAGAAAGAGACAGTTCACCTCCATCCAGGAAAAAAAAATGTTTTCAATTTACCTTCAGAGCTTTTTCGTGCCTCTGGATCTGTCAAGATGGTTCGCCCTCTCTCCTTCCGGGGTCCAAACGGTTTTAGGGAATTGTGTGGTCAAAAGGTAAGCAAGCCCGATCCAGGAAGCAAACAGGAGAGAGAAAAAAGGCAATCCGAAAGAGGGGAAGGCGTAAAGCAGAAGACCTGAAAACTTTTTCTCCTGCGCACCAGCAGCTTTTCACAGAAATAAAAAATTAAAATGAGAAACCAGAAGAAGCTAAAGCAGAGATTCAGAGTAAAAGAGAAAGGTTTGTTTAAAACCTGCAACTCCAGGCCTTTTCACAGAAATAAAAAATTAAAATGAGAAACCAGAAGAAGCTAAAGCAGAGATTCAGAGTAAAAGAGAAAGGTTTGTTTAAAACCTGCAGCTCCAGGCCTCCCGTAGGTTCTTGAACAGGCTGGGTTTTTCTGCAGCATTGAAAGTTGCTCTACACACACAAGTGACACTCTTGCCAAATTAAAAAAAAAAACCAGGCCTACCGTGTCCTTTCCCAAACAATAAACTTTTAATGCTAAAGCAGTTATATAACCAAAAGCTGTACATTGTCATCTGTGGTTTTTTTTTTCTTCTTCTTTTTTTGTTAGAAAATGAAATTTGATTTTTTTTTTTAATGGGATTTTTTTTCCTCATAAATATTGTTCAGTTCCTGGCACTTGTCTCAATAATTAAATTACAAATGATAAATATGGCATCGTGGATATGTATTTACACACAAAAGAGGTATTACAAAAAGGCAACTGTTTATACTAAACTGCCAGGAGCTGGGTGAAATTAATATTTTTTTTTCCATTGTAAAAAATAGACTGAATGACACCCCTTCCCATTTCTGCCATTAGAAGAAAATACATTCACAACAGAAAGGAAAAGGAAGAGAGAAAGAGGGAGGGGGGAAGGAATGAAGGAAGGAGAGGAGGAGGAGGGAAGGAAGGAAGGAAGGAAGGAAGGAAGGAAGGAAGGAAGAAAGAAAGAAAGAAAGAAAGAAAGAAAGAAAGAAAGAAAGAAAGAAAGAAAGAAAGAAAGAAAGAAAGAAAGAAAGAAAATATAGGACTTTGGCAAGTTTAAAAACTGTTTTTTCCTTCTACTTTGAACAATCGCATAAGGCCAAGAGAAAACATCGGCTTCATTTCCGAACATCCCACTGAAAAGAAGTCGGGCTGAGCGGCGGGTGTGAAGGATGCAACATCCACGGAAGTCAGTTACAAAAGGCGAGGAAAAAAGGGGGGGTGGGAGATGAAGAATGAATTAGAAGAATTGTTTTTTAAAAATAAAAAAACCCAGAAAGAAACACTCAATGCAGAAAGAAAACTGGCTAATCCTGAGAACAGCAGACGTGGTTAAGTTCAGCTTCCCTCCGGCTCTTGGACGAGACGGGGATGCTGCCCCCTGACACCCCCACTTTCCTCCTTCCTTTTGGCAATTTTTGTCCGGTAAAATCCAACAGCAGCAGCAGCAGGCCAGGCGGGAGGGCTGGCTGTCCTTTGATGTCACTGGGAATCAAAGTGAGGAGGGGGGGCAGGCCACGGGTTCCCCCTCCTCAGACATACCATTCATTGAAGTTGGGGGGCAGACCAGGGTTCGGGTTGGCCGTCTGAACAGTGGAAGGGGCAGCTTTCCCGGAGTCCTTACTGGGGGCAGCAGCCAGGGTGGGGGGCGTGGAGGATTCGTAGCCCGAACTGGCTGCGGGCGAGGATTCGGAGCTCTGCGTTTCGTGGACCTGAAAAGGACACAGAGAGAGAGGGGGGGGGAGAGGATCACCACAGGATCAGAACTGGTTATTTATTTGGCAGTCCAAACCAGATAAAAACAGAACCAATAATTATAAAGAGAAGTAGCTTAAAAGGAGCAGTCCAAGAACACAATCACATATGCCTCCCCATTTGGGACACAGAAAGAGGGGAGGGGGGAGAGAGAGAAGGAGACAAACTTAAAGCAAACCCCCAGCTCAGTAGATTTTTTTAAAAAACAAACCAGAGAAAAGACCCTCGCCCAAGAATAAATCTAGAATAAAGGATCTTGGAGGATAAATGTTGTGTTTGTGTTTGTATTTGTGTATATGTGTGTGTGAGAGAGAGAGAAAGAGAGACAGAGAGTGTGTGTAGGGGGTAAATGTAAAGCAAGCTCCAATTCAAAAGATTTTTGTCCCGAATGGGAGAAAGTAAAAAAAGACCCCCCAGCCCAAATTAAATCCAGAATGAACCAGAACAGTAAGGGATTCATTCTGGAGGACAAATTTTCAGCCTGCCCTGCCAAGAGCCCTCCAGCCAATCTGCATGGTGACAATTAGGAGGCTGATGGCCCTTGACTGATACTCCAGAGTAAGGCAAAGGACCTTGGAAGGGATTTATATTTTAGAAGCTTCCAGGGGGGGGGAGGGAGGGAGAGGGTGCAGGAGAAAATGCATCTTGTTTCACTACCAACTCTTGCTTCTGGGTTCTTAAGAAAGTCTTCTAATCGGAAGTGTAGGTTTAAAAAAAAAAAAAAGAAAAGAAGTTATGCCTACATGAGATGGATAAACCAGGGAGCAGTCAGGATTAAGAAGGTGAAATATTTGGCAGCAAAAGGCAAACTGAAAGAGCAACTCCAAGCAAACAGCCCCTGTTGGGGAAGAAAGTTCCAGAATCAAGCCAGACCAAAAGAGAAGACTGCCATGATTTTAAAAATAAAACAGGTAGGCTAAAAGTTTGCATAAAGTTCTTTTTATGTCCCCCTTTTCTCACCGGAATGCTTATTCCAAAGGCCAAAGTACAGGCAGTTCAAAGCTACAACGGCGGTGAAAAAAAGGGACTTATGACCGTTTTTCTCACAACTGTTGCCGCATCCCCGTGGGTCACGTGATCAAAATTCAGACATTTGGCAGCTGTCTCATAGTTATTTATTTATTTATTTATTTATTATTTGGATTTATATCCCGCCCTTCTCCTCGTAGGACTCAGGGCGGCTGACAATCAATTAAAATACATAAATAACAAAACAGATTTAAAATTAATTAAAATAGATATTTAAATATTGTCCGATTTAAAATATAATTAAAACCCCTCTAAAAATTACCCTAGGCCAGTCCTGCAAGCTGGAATAACCAAGTCTTGAGGGCGCAGCGTCCCGGGGGTCACGTGATCCCCTTTTGCAACCTTCTGACAAGCAAAGTCAATGGGGAAGCCAGATTCACTTAAACCGTGTTACTAACTTAAGCAAGGAAAGTCGTAAAATGGGGCAAAATCCACTTAACAAATAACTTACTTAGCAACAGAAATTTTGGGCTCAGGTCCTGATTCGAGGACTGCTGTACACAGAACAACAAGGATGTGTGCAGGCATTCTGCGTTCTGGTGAAGGGGGGGGGTATTGTATAAATAACTAACAGGCGAAACTAAATGCACACAGAAGACTGTAATATGTAGAAATAAACAACTGTTTGGGCACGGAGACATAGTGGTATCATAATACATTAACTATTTTGCACTCTTGGTATGAATTATTGGTATTGCTACACTATGCAGTTGTACAGTGTAACTGTACACACAAACACACATGCAATCTACTTTCCTACATAAATAGATTTCTTTTTAGGAGGAATGAGAAAGAGAGAGCATTTGTGTGCAATTATACACCCACAAACACATTTATTTATGCAAGATCAAGCTGGATAGCTTTCACAATTCGGCAAGATTGGTTTGGTTTTTTTTAAATTCTTTTTAAATTTTTTTAAATTTTTTAAATTAAATCAAAAACGGAAGCAGCAATATATAAATACGGACCCCCAACCCTGACGATGGAAAAGGTTACCTTCATATGCTTCCTTAAGGAACTGGGGTGGGTGTAGGACTTGTCACAAACTTTGCAGACGTAGGGCTTGTCAGAGGTGTGTACGTGCATGTGTTTCTTTCTGTCGCTGCTGTTCGCAAAACGCCGATCACAGCCTTCAAATTCGCACTTGAAGGGCTTTTCTCCTACAGATGGGCAGGAATACAGATTGAAAAGATCAGCGGGGGGGGGGGGCAACTTGGGATTTTCACACTTTGCTCCTTGCCTGGTTCTTCCTCTCTCTCTCAAACTTCAGTTCCTGAATAATTTTTGCCTTCTATTTTTTTTTTCCATTCTGCTTTTTCCCCCGGGTAATATGCTTGAGGGAGGGAGGGAGGAAAAAAGAGAGAAGAGAGGGAAGGAAGGAAGGAGGGAAGGAAGGAGGGAGGGAAGGAGGGAGGATCAAACCGGGGTTGTTGACAATTAAATGGCCATTGTGCCTTTAATCCTGTGTTTATCACATGCAACCAGCCACTCTTAGAAAAGATTCAGAAACTGATTTGGGAGCGATTTATGAACTGGGCGACTCAGAGGAGGATCCCAGAATGCTAGAAAATAAACAGTATTGGCTGCTTCCAATTTAATTTTCGTTTTTTTAGAAGAACGAAACTCTTTCTCCCAAACAACAAACAAACCCGGGGGGGGGGGTTGCAGGGAAAGAGGAGAGAGAAAAAAAAAATACTCGGGACAAAAGGTATCACTGATTTAATTAGAGGTGCCAATCAAGTCGTTAAAAGAGAGAGCGGAAGTGAGGGAAAATTCGGTTTCATTTGCATCTCTATGGTTGGCTTCGCCGACTGTCTGAGCGAGGGGCTTTCACAAAAAGCAATCCACTCACCTCCAAGGAACGCCTCCTTCCCCCCCCCCGGACTCCTAGGACGCCCCCCCCCCAAAAATCAGGAGGGGGAGCCTGAGAGCCACGAGAGGGGAAAGAAAGCTAAGGAGGCCCAGAGGGAAGAAAGTCCCTGAAATTTCATTTCGGAAGAACGGAAGGAAACAAAAATACCCCGCCCCCCAAAAAACAAAACAACACACACACACACACACACATAAATAAATAAATAAATAAACCGAAAACAGGCTGGTTCTTTTGCCGAAATTGACAAGACCTCGGCAATCTGCAACCGGCCGTGAAACTGACCAGCCTGGACTTGCAAAAATGAAAATCAATCCGGATTTGATCCGGAGTGAAAAACAAGCCCAAACACATCCCCTGGTTTTTGTCTGCGGTTTCTTTCCGCCTCCGTTTCTTCTCCCCTCGACCCTCTCCCCCCCCTCCCCAGCCTAGGATTCGACACCCCCTCCCCGCCAAGCCCCCTCAAACCCCTTGGCGTCTTCCCCAGTTCTGTCTCTCTCTCTTTAAACCCCCCCCCGCCCCCAAAAGCCCCGTTTCCCATTTCCAGGCTGCGGTTCCCCCGAAATTCATCCCTTCCGCCAAACGAACCGGGGGGGGGGGTCCCTCTGGCCTTGTCGGCCGTCTGAACAAGAAAACCTAACCGGGATGGAGCGCAATTAGGTTTAACAGGTGGGGGGGAGCCTTAAGGGAGCCGGCCGGGGGGGTGGGGGTCGGGAGCGGGGTCCCCCTTCTCCCTCTTACCCGTGTGGGTCCTTTTGTGGATTTTGAGGTTCTCGGAGCGAGCGAAAATCTTCCCGCATCCCGGGAAGGGGCAGGGAAAGGGCTTCTCGCCCGTGTGGACGCGGATGTGGTTGACCAGCTTGTACTTGGCCTTGAAGGATTTGCCTTGGCGGCCGCACTCGTCCCACAGACACACGTGGCTGTTCTGCTCGGGGCCCCCGACGTGTTCCAACGTGAGGTGGGTGACCAGTTCGTGCATGGTGCTGAACTGCCGCTCGCAGCACTTCTTGGACCGAGCCCCCGACGGCGGGGAAGCCTCCTCCAGCCACTTGCAAGCCAGCTCCTGCTTCACCGGCTGCCGCATGTAGCGGAAGAAGGCGCCGGCTCCCGGGTGGGCGTGGGGGTGGGGGTGGGGAGGGTGGTGGTGGGCCGTCCCCACGTTCATGCCCCCCACGTTCACCGGGCCGTAGTTGGGGAAGGGCGGCGCGGCCCCGTAAGCGTCCGCTCGCGGGCTGGAGATGCCCCGGTACGAGTCCGGCCGGCCGAAGAAGTCTCCGCGCAGACCCAGGTGCAGCTGGCCGCCCTCACCGGGCCCCGACGGCGAAGGCAGGCCGGCCGCGTTCTGCTCGTGCAAGCCGGGGAAGAGCAGGTAGCCGCCCGCGCCGTCCGCGTGGAGTCCGCCGGGCGCGTTGCTGCCGAAGAGGCCGTGCGGCGCCGGGGAGCCGACGGGGACCCCGCTGGACCCTCCGCCGCCGCCGCCGCCGCCGCCGCTCGAGGGCGCCTCGGCCAGGGCGCAGCCCCCGCGGTTGCGGAAGAGAAAGTCCCGCGTGGAGTTGAAGGCGGCCACGTAAGGCGAAGGCACCTGGCCGGCGGCGGCGGCGTGCGGGTGAGGAGGCGGCGGCGGGTGAGGCGGCGGCGGCGGATGATGGTGGTGCGGGTGGTGGTGGTGGTGGTGTGGATGATGGTGGTGATGGTGGTGGTGCTGCGCGAAGCCCGAAGCTTGCGGCGTAAAGGCGGATCCCTGAGCCGAGGCCAGCTCGTGGGCGGCGGGGCTGAGCTTGAAGGAAGAGTCGGCGAAGGGCGCGGGGTTGAGCCCCAGGGTCACGTCGTGCGGGTGGGGCCGAGAGGCCGCGAAGCCCCCCAAGGTGGGGAACTGGGGCCCGCCGTCCAGCAGCATGGCCATCGCCCTCCTTCAGACGGCCGCGAGGGAGAGGACCAGGCGGTGGAGATCCACAGCTCTTCCTTCCGTGGACGCCGGAGGGACCCTCCACACCTCTCCTCTGCCTTCTCGGAGCCGCCGAGCACGCGGGGCCGCTCCGAGCCCCCCTCGGCGCCCTTCCCCTCCGCTGCCCTCCCTCCCCCCCGCCGCCGCCTGGAGATCAGCCCCGCACAATGGCCGGGCGGGCAGGAGGGCTGCCGCGGCGGCTCCGCCACAGCCACATTCACACGCGCGCCCGACCTCGCCGAACCGCGGGGGGAAGAAGGAGCAGCGGCGGCGGCAGAAGCCGAAGAAAAGAGAGCCGGGCGGCGGGAAACCCCACCCACCCGGCCCCGGAGGAGCAAGGACGGCGGTGCCCCCCGGCCGCGCGGGCCGGGAGGGGAAACAAGGGGGGGGCGCCCTGGCGCTGCCCCCGAGGAGGGGATCCCCGCCGCCTGCCTGGTCCGTAGGGCGCCCTCCGCTTCGGCCGAGCCCCGTCCTGGCACTGGCTGGGCTCGGGCGCTTCTCCCCGGCTACCCCAGAGGGAAGCAGCCGAGGGAGGGGGCGCAGAGGAGCCAAGAGCGGGAGGCGGGGGGGGGGGCGGGCGGAGGACAGGGAGACCCCACTCCGGGAGAGGGGGGGGCTGCGTCTGGGCCAGCCAATGGGGAGCCAGCCAGCCGTCTGTCACCTGACCTTCCAGCCGGGAGGCCCATTGGCCCGCCCGCCCGGACGGACAAGCTCTCCGTGTTGAAAATGGCAGCTGGCGGCGAGACCCTCGCCGTGATTGGACGGGGCTTGGCTCGGTGGGGCGCAGGTAAAGTGAAAGGCTGATGGCCCAGCCGGGTCTCCCCCCCCCCCTCCCCACGCAGCGTTGTGTTTACTGGAGATGTGACGGAGGGGGGAGGGGGAGAGGAAGGGGGAGGGGCGGTGCTCGCGCATCCTCCCCCTTCGCCCCCCCTCTAGTGGGGGGGGTCTTTGCAGGCGCTGAGCCAGTTCGAAGCCGGCCGACTTCCTCGCCTTGCCCTCCTCCGACCGCTCCGAGATCATTAAATTGCCGTCGCCTTGCGATCGTTTGTGACCCTGACTCCCTCCTCTTTTCGATTTTATTCGATTTTGCTCCTCGTGGGAGTTTTGCTCGGAGGAGCCGGGTTGCCCGCCTACCCCAGCGCAGCCCGTCAAGCCGACCCGATGTCGCCTGGGCGAAAAGGGGTCCCATGCCCCCCCCGACCGAAGGAAGATCGTCCTGGCCGGATCTGAAATGCCGGATCGTGGCCTTCGTTCCTCAAACCGCTTTGGGTTCCAGGGCTGGTGGGGGTGGGGGGGAGACCGGTTTCTCTTTGTGAAACTTCTGGGGGGAACGTGGGAAAAGTCCCACCGTGGACGCGCCTGGTGGCCGCGCGAAGCGAAGGGCGCTCCCCTAAGGCCGATGCGTGGATCTTACGCAGACACGCAGGGATCTAGGGAAAAGGAGACGGTTGTTTTCAAGCTCAAGAGCACCAAGGACCCCCCCCGCCCCCTTCATGTCGACAAATATTCTCCTTTAAAGGGAAATGTTGGAAATGAACCTGGTTTATCCTTTTCCCGACCCCCGGAGAGAGGAGACAGTTCTGATTTGGGGCTGGTCGGGCACGGGAGAGATCCAGAGCACTTCCTCGGGAACCGGTTCTCTGGCCCGGGCCGAGCGATAAATCCTGGCCGGAGAGAGCCCGAGGCTTCCCGCTCGCCTTCGGCAGCCGCTTTTGCATCGGCTTAAGAGGCGCTTCTGGAAAACCTTTGCAAGAAAAAAAAACCCGGGGGGGGGGGGTCGAAAAATTAAGGGAAAGCAAGGCTGGAAAGGAAAATCGGGATGGGGAGGGGGCAGATGGGGAGAAGGCCGGCGATTGTGGTGTGCTTGCTCTGCCCAGTTACGGAATGCCCCCCCCCCGCTTTGAAAAAGCTCCAAGGAAAATCCGCCGCTCTCCCCGGCAGGAAACGCGCGTTTGATCCGGCCAGAAAGAAGCGCTCGGGGTCTAAAATGTAGCCAGCGGACCCCTCTTCAGCCCCCCCCCACCACCACCACCACGCCTTTCCCTCGCCAGCCCTTCCCAGATTTCAGCCTCCTTTTTTTAGGGAACTGGTCAAAAGGGGAGGGGAGAGAAAAAGAGCGCAAAACCAGAGACACAAGAGGGAAAAAAAACACAAGCTTTAATCCCCCCCTTCCCCAAACTCACAGGGGCCCCCTCCTCGCAAGAACGGGAGTCCGCTCCTTTCCGGAAGCACCAGCGGTTGACTCGCTCGCCAACTTTCTTGCTAGCCCCCCCCCCGCTCCGTCCCTCCCCCACCCACGTCTCCTGCCTGGCCGGCAACGAGAAGGAAGCTTCGCGGGGGTGGGGGAGGGCAGGTGGAGGGAGGAAGAAGAGTAGCCTGAGGGGGGGGGTTTGTGCCTCCTCGGTGTGTCCAGACAACACAGAGACGCGCGCGTACATGCACACACATGCACACACAAAAACCCGGGGCAAAGGGGAAGCGGCCACGGGCGAGGGGGGCGTTCTTGCGTTTATGATGAAGACTCGCACAGTGCCCGGGTATAAAAAAAAATGGCGTGCGAAGGGGGTGGAGGATGGGGACGCCCCCAAGACCGCGAGAAAGCACCGGGGGGGGAGGAGGCGGAGGGGGCTTGGAACCGGCGCTTGGAAATGCGGAGGGAAGAGGAGACCCCCACCACCACCCCAGCGGGCAAGGGGGGCTTTCTTTCCCCCCGGCCTTTCCCAGGCTCTGCGCTCGCCAAGGAGCCCCCCCCCCCCGCTCTCGGCCTCTTCCTTCCCCGGTTTGTCCCGTTCTTCTCCCGCCCGGGTCTGCCTGGTCTAGGCCGGCTCGGCGCCTGTCCTTCCGAGGCCGGGCGAGAGGAAATTAACGACCTCCCGCGCGTGTTCTGCCCTTGTCTGGCTGACACGCGTACAAGAAAGAGGCGTCCTGCAATTAGATCAACAAGCGCGTCTGGGTTTCAGGGCGGCTTTCCGAGACGGGCGCTTCGAGCCGGCTGGGGCGGCTGACCTTTTGCAGGGGCGCCAGGCCTCCCCGCAACGCCACTCGTGCAACATACGCAGCCACAACCCCCCCCCCCCGCTCGCCCGTGGCCTTCGCCTTCGGAGTGGCCACGCGCAAACTTCCAGCATCCGGAGCAACTTTCCCGGGGACGGGAGCGTCTTTCTCCCCCACCTTCCTCTGCAGACTTTTTCTCTAAATGGGAGGGGGGAGTGCGTGGGCGCGTGGGTGGGCGACAAACCCGCAGGCCGAGTGGGAGGAGGAGGAGGAGCAGCCCCGGTTGCATTTTTTAAAAAAAACACCAAACACCCCCCCCCAAACACCCCTATAACCAAAATTAGATGGGGAGGGGTAGAGCCAGATCAGGCGCCCCCCCCCGGCTGAATTTAAAGAAAGAGCAACGTCTCCAATCCGCGTGGGAGGAGATCTGGGATGTCCCTCGCAGGCCGAATAGATTCCCCCCCCCCCGGCCTTTGTTGTGCGGAGGAGAAAGAGAAGCTGGGAAGGCGCGTTTGGGTTTGGGAAAGTTGGGCGTTTGTCCTAAACGTTGGGGAGAAAGAAAGAAAAACACACCCTTTTTTCGGGTCGGTTTTTCTTGTGGTTGTTTGGAAAACTGGAGGAGGGTAAGATGGAGCGCCGGCTTTGAATCCCCCTCCGATGGCGGCGACTCGGCGCTGCTTTGCGGCCTGGCCAGGGCGGGGAGAGGCGGAGGGCGGGGGGCGGAGAAGGCCAAGTTGACCCTACGGAGGTCTACGGGGAGATGAAGCCACATCAATTAAGCTGTAAATCTCTTCAGACCTTGCTCTCTCCGTCTCTTCTGCCCAGCCTCCCCCGGCGACCGGGGAAAGAGTGCCCCAAGACCCCCGGAATGGGCGAAGCTGGAATCCCTAACTCCAAAGAAGGGAGAGGTGGTGGTGGGGGGCAGGAAACGGGTGTGTAGGCCCGATTTTCACTCTTGAAAAGAGCTCTGACCTTCTGAAAAGTCTACGAGATCCATATAGATTTAAACAAAAAACAAACAAACAAAAAAAAGTTTGCCGGTTGGTTTTAAAAGGAATTCTTAAAGGGATTTTTATCAATAAAATTTTATCCATAAATTCGCCGCTCTTCCTCCCCTGCCGCCCTCATTCAACTTCCAGCGTTTGTTTCGTGCGTAAGAAGTTCCTGCTCCTTTTTAAAATATATATATATATACATACAGAATTGGGATAACAAACAGCGGCGTACGTACAAAATTCTTCCAAGCCGGCCTCCCCAGAGAGAGGAACCGAACTTCTCTTGGCTTGAAATCCACAGGGCAAAAGAAAAAAGAAAAAGAAAGAAAGAACAGAAAACCCGTGGATCCGAGCTGAATTGCACGCTGCGTGGATTTGAGTATTTATTTAGGGTAGAGACACAAACTCGTTAGTTCATCCGCATTTATTCCTCTTGTGAGGAAGGCTTGGGAGGGTAAGTCCGTACTTCACGCATTTCCGGCCAGAGCTGAAACCCTCCTTCCCTCTCTCTCTCTCTCTCTCCCTCTCTCTCTCAAGATCAAATAAAACCAAACTTCAAAAAGAAAAAAAACCCACAACACAAGGCTGCGGAGGGAAGTTGCTTGCCTTACGCTCTTGTCTACGGCAGAAGGCGGGCAGATACGCCGAGCCCGCGAGGGTCATCAAGCTTTCTTTTTGGACTAAGCTTGTCGGTGGTCAGCTACAGAGCAAACTGCATCCACCCGAGCCTTGAAATGACACCCTACGGAAAATAGAATTTACTTTTTCGCTTCCTTATTTTAATTCCGACAAACCCCGAATTTCTTGCTCATCGTTTCTCCGCCATCCGAAAGGCCTCTCTTTGGGGGAGGGGGTGGAAAAAAAGGACATTTTTAAAAAAATAAATAAAATTGCTTTCGCTTGGGAGAAAAGAAAAGAAAGCGAAGGGACGGAGGAAGAATCTCCGTACCTTCACGCGGACGCCCG